AATATAATAAAAAATTTAAATATTCATGGGCACTCATTGGTCATAGGTAGAGTTTTAATAGGTAGAAGGTATTCTCATTATGTATGTAACTAAATAACAGTTTTATGTWTAAAAAAATGTWTAAAAAAATTCATCAAATCAAATGAAATAAAATAATTATCATTCGRTATCAGTAAATAAGAACTRTAAATTTCTTAGTTCGATTCCAAACTAATATGTTCGGTATCATAAATATTGGAATCCTGGATATTGAATATAGCTATTCTTGTGAAAGTCTATCCTTTCAACTTTTCAAGATAAACGTTCATTAAATTATAATAGTTCATATTATTTTKTCTAGGGCAATAATGATACTATCTTTTCTTTCCCTCTAATGAGCGCCAACATCTTAATATGCTTTCTACACCCCTATWTAGACACATACTAGATAATACTAGATATAAAGTTTAAGATAGACAAACAAAAATCAATAGTCACTCGATAGTTTGAAATTCATAGGATTGAGTTAAAAATTTGATTTATAGAGGTTTTCGAATTACCGAGTGTTCGAATAATCAAGGGAAAAAAATTGATTCATATTAAAAAGAGACAAAAAATTGAAAAATTGTATGTATGTAATGTATTGTATTGTATTAAATACATACTATTATATTTTACAATTATTAATTGACATTTATTTATTATACTATTATATTTTACATATTAAATAAATCTGTTATTATTTTTTTTTTGTGATAAATTGCTGGCCATAAACTGATCCATAGCGTTGTCTAACTTACTGATAGCAAGATTTTGATTCAAATTATAGAGTGTGTTCCACCGACAGACATTTCGAATTATCGAGGGGACCGGAATGCGTGTATTTTCTTCTAATTATAGATGTTTTCTCAGGGGACTTTGCGTTTAGTTTGATTTATGTAGTTTTTTGAATTATCGAGTGACTATTGTATAATCATAAAAATAATAATATACCTCCGTTAATAAAACATAGGGTAGGTATGTAATAAGTACAACTGTATTACAGTATATAAGTATTATATAATATAAGAGTATTGATATTTCGAAAATGTTTTCTTAGGTACCTGACAAAAGGCTCTCCATTCAGGATTGCCCATCAATTCAATTTTTGATTCATATATAGTTACGTCAAACTCAAAACCAAGTTTATTTAGAGGTATTTTGTTTTTGCGTGAAAAATTTTGAAGCACACCTGATAAGAAAGACTGTGTAAAATAAAAACCAGAAAGCCAAAATATTTCTGGAATGCCATTATCCAGCCAGTCTTGTAAGAATTTTAGCCTAGAAAATTATGATTTTCATCAATTTAACTATATGTGCTTAAATATATGTATGATAATAAAATGTACCTCTGCAATAAATCCGCWACATATCCTCCTAAAGGTTTCAAAGAAGGGTACGAATAACTYATCCAATTTTCCGGTACTCGTCCAATGACTAGACTGGTATGTAATTCTTCTAAATCAGATGACATAACAACTACACCTTTTATAGCATTTTGTACTTCTACTAATGATTTTTTTATAACTGACAATAATTTGTTGAAACGTATCAATTCCTGCGTTGAATATAGTAATTAATATACTATTTAATTTTAGATGTTCAATTATAATAAATCATTAAGGCGATTCGATACTGTGATTTTCTATTTTTGTCTAACACACACGTGGAATAGCATTTTAGAAGTATTTCACCAAACGAACCGATTTATCTATGAAGTGATAATTCTAAAAACAAACTTGAATATTTTTTCAAGAGTACTTGA